TTTAACTACGTGCAGTTCAGTTAGCAACATGATACGTATATGTAATGTAATCTCAGCGGCTGGCACTTCTTTTCTGCATCCCAGTCCTTCTCGTGATCGTGCTTACAGTATGACAAGTCCATTTTTGTGACATGATCGCAGAGGAACAGTAAACCCTACCAGTACTAAGAAGGTGCTTGGAAGAAAAAGTTTGGGGATGCCCACATTCGCGCAGTGGAGTTTGAGCTTGCTAAGCCTGTTCAGAAACGCCATATTCTTGTGGATAATGTTTGTGTTGCAAGATGCTAGCTGATAACTTTGTTTTGGAATGACCATCATTTTCGTTCTTCTTGAACTCCCTTCCAGATTCTTTTGGTTTCTTGCTCCTGCACATGTCGATTTCACTGCATGGAGCAAGCACCCATACACTTGATACTCACATACACACATGACAACAGTTTCAGTTTCCACTGGCCTGGTGACTATCCAGGACGTGAAGAAGCGTGGACGGTGGACCCTTGTCGGTCCAAAGGACGCCCGGCTGTCACGGATAGACTTTGAAATACCCTGGCCAAGACCCACCCTGTTGGTTAAGGCTGTAAGCCAGCGTGCACGTTCTAGTAATCAGGTCCTGAAGGCAAACTTCTTGCAAAGTCTGTGATCAAGGGTCACAAAACCAAAGAGAAGAAAAACACTGCGCACCAAGCTGTGTCTAGGGACTCAAGTCACATCACACCTTGATACTGATCATGCTTTCCCAAACTCTTCCATTTTATTGTCCACCCGATTCCGCAGACCCACCAAACCTCAGAGATACAAAGCATCTCCGTGCAAGGTCATCGTATCCTGGGATGGAGGTGAGATGCAAAACTTTAATAACCTGGGCCACTGATGTTGGGATCTGAATAAAGCCAACAAGCCGTTGTTACTCATGAGAACCCGAGGTTATCATAATTAGTGATTTGTTTGAAGTGCTTGAAACCAATGTGCATGGAGTTGGTTGCTGCTGCCTGCCATATGGCAAAGTAGCACAGCTCGATTCACAGGCATGTGACCGTCGCATGTGGATGCGAGTTGAGGAATCTGGACGAGTTTAGACTAATCAGCCACGCACCGTGCAACTCTGTGAGATGTTCATGGCTTCACCGGATGTTCTTCCTCGACTTGTGCGCAGTTTCTACGTCTCTATGCCGATGGATTAGCTTGTCTTCAAAAGGAAAGGAGATTTGTGCACAGTCTTCATAAAGAGGTGTCAGAAGAGGCACTCGAATTGCTTCGATCCAGTCCTCCCGTGACCACCTTACAAGTGGCAGTTTGCCATACGTGCGACAGGTCAATCCCTTGAGTGGTCCTGTTGCACTGGAGACCGAAGATTTTGCGGGCAGGTGAGGCCTTCAAGGGAGATGTCCTTGGAATGTAGTTTCGATTACTGTACCAAATGCAACTCATCTCATTCCACAATTGGTGTATCTTCAGGTCCAGGTGCTTGGCTTGTGATTCAGTTCCGACCTGTTCGGTTTTTGCCCTTTTCCGTAAGGCGCAGTTGGTACATTGTTGGTACAATGATTGGAAGTTTACCAGTAGCATGTTGTTGGCACATCTGTCAAGTGCAGAGGCAAGCCCTATACTCAGGTCAAGCTTACAAACACTACTGTACAAGAACTTACTTTATTGCAGATTTGTTTGGCCGTCGAGGATACTCATCCTCAATCGGCCACAACCAGAGCCTGAGGAGTGGACCTACAAGGACAGCTGGCATCCGTCGACTGCGCTCATCCAAACATCCGGCCTCGCGCTTTATATAACCCTATGTGTATTCATTGTTTGCAGGCATCGACAAGGCTCAAATGACATGGCGGCATGGCCAAGTAGTAAAAGCGACCAGAATGATTTGGCAATAATATGCAATAATTATCCAGTTCGTTTGTGTCAGCTCCTTTTGACAGCTGTTGTTACTTGTACTAGCACCTTAGAAGAGCAGAGCAGTTCTCTTGCAGGACTACCTAGCAATCATTTGGGGAGATATTGCAGCATGCAAGCAAGCACGCAGGAGCTGTTCAAAGGAAAGCAGCGGCACTTCCAGCTGCGCTTGCAGGGCCGCTTCAAGAGCGAGCCAAGCCAGGACAAATTTGCGAAACCTCAAGAGAGTCAGCTTTGGTTAAATTGGCATTGTCGCGTTAAGGACCTTTTTGCAGAAGAGGAGTGATTCTGGTGAGTTAGTATCAATTAATTTGGTACCCTAATTCTGGACAATAGTTGCGAAACTGCTCAGAAAAGGTTTGTAATCGTTTGTAATGATTTGTGTGCAAAACATTAGCCTTGCTACGCTCAACACCAGATGCAGGATATACTGTAGTTTACAAAGGATTGACACCGATACCTTGTCACTGGAAAGTTCCTCACGCCTGACTTACAATTCCCACAATCCATACTTTGTACATTTCGCTGACGCTGTGCCATGAACAGTGGGTGTTCTTGATGATCCCATGGCATTGTATATTCTTCGGTCTGGGTTGTTGGAAATGATAAGATGAACGACAACCAAGGTATAAACGAATGTCCGCCAGTTAGCTAATCTCTAGAGGAGTGCACGAAAAGACAAAGAGCAACACAAATGCAGAAAGCGCATGCACGGAAAACACAAAAATACTGAAGCTACTCTCAAAAAAAAGCAAGATCAAAGCCAAAAACATGAAACACAAAAAGGTAAGGGCAGATTACAAGAAAAACACATAGACTCTTATGAGCTATCTGTCTTAGATACATGATGCCGCAGCTTCACTTACTCACCCAAAGTGATACCGTTTGGTCATGTCCAGTCCAGCCAGCAGCAAAAGAGGCGGGATCTAGGACCTAGCAGCTCTAATGACTCTAATGTATGCTTTAACTGCTGTAGCTGTAGCTTGTCTCATATCATGCCAGAAGAACTAACAAGAAAACTGTGACTCTATTGATATCTCATATACTTATACCCTGCAACAAACATGAGCTGTCTAGAGAGTCTAGCACCTTTCACCTCACAATGGAGCCGTGGGCCGGATGTTTCTCAAGTTTTCTCAGTGTGTTTGAGGAGTTTGTTTTGGTTTGCTTTTCTTTTGCTTTTTTGTTGCTCTTTGGCACTTGCAAGCAGGGCAGTAGCAAGCGTGGCACCTGCAAGTCTACAATTAGCCGATCTGAAGCACAAGGTGCAGAAGTGTGACTGTAGAATAGCTATCTTTACTTGTAAGTGACAATACATATTGTAGTTATTTTGACTTGGGAGCTTCTTGATCTTTACTTCTAAGCTTCCCAAGTAGTAGTGTGCCGCATAATCCGGCCCTGTCCAACGAACGTGGACTACCCCCCTCTTTGAACTCAAGTAGGTTTACATCCTCCATCAAACATGTTGTTTAGCACTGATTTTAAAGGTGCACTTTCCAAGAAATCCAAGAATCCAACATTTGCTTTTGTATTGATTTATATAAGGTGAAGCATTTCCAAGGGGATGAGGACTGAATGATGGGAGCGGTTTCAGCCCAGTAAAACTCAGTGAGGTTTCGGTTCGGTTGGAATCGGTTTGAATGTTTAATTGAATCTTCGAATCGGTTCGGTTTGGTTGAGGAAGCTTTTGTTCATGCATTTTCGGTTCGGTTCACGGTTCGTTTCGGTTCGGTAAGGGATAAGTTACCCTGTGAGACAAGACAAGAAATAGATAAGACAAACAAGACCAGAGAAGACAAAACAAGACATGATGTGATGTGACATGTCATAGCAAATCAAGATCTACTTGGTAGATTTCCTGTCCAATATGCTTTCTAGACCGCCTGGAAAAAGCATATTCACAAACAGCTGTCTTTTCCTCAGCTTCTCATGGCTCAGAGGTTGTCTTGACTTACTTGTTGTCGACACGATGTCCCTCATGGTGCCTTCGTACATGATGCCAGAGCAGCTGCGCTTGGCTCGTGTGCAGCTTTGTGTGGGGCTGTTCCTGTTCAGACCTGCAGCGTTCAGCCCTGCAGCAGCGCAACCGCACGAGCAAGCAGAGCGGAAGAGCGGAAGACCTCGTAAGGGCACAGCTGTGGCTGTGCAGGGCACAGGCAAAAGTGGCCAGTGTCGTCAGGTGGGGGTTGAATATGCTTTTTTCTGCTTGATGCAAATGCATATTTGGCTGCCTAAAGTCCTAAAGGTGTTTATGATGGGCCGCCTTCTGTTCTGAGTGCTTAAATGCTTTTTGCGAATCGGAAAAAATGCATTTTGGAGTTGCCCTGCACATGGCGCAGGCGGACCAGCAGATTCAATATTTGCAGAGCCGCCCTGATGTTGCTTGCTTGACGAAGACTTCCATGTGTCGCTTGACCAAAGAGATCTTGCAGACCATCGTCAAGGAGCGCAACAGTCAGAGAGACCCATGGCTTCCGTGCAAGGAAAACTCCTTGGCTGAGCTCAAGATCTCCGCGGCAGCTCTAGCCGTCCTCTCTCATGCCGCTGAAGCATACGTGGTTCAGAGGCTGGTGCAGGGCAATGTGCTCGCCGCTCACCGTGGGAAGAAGACTTTGACTGAGAAAGACCTTCAAACTCTGCAGACAGTGGAGGAGGTTGCGGCTGGCCATGTTTGCAAGAAGCCGAGAACACAGTGAGGGCGGTTTTTGGGTCGATGGCCTAGGGTGTCAATGCTACGCATTGTTGTAGGGATTTGTGTCAAGATGATGCTCTTGAGCTTGAAAATGTGCTAGATTGCATTTGTAGTGAGCACACTTCTTGAGCTTCTTGAGCTTTGTCAGTGTGTACGCTTCTTGTCAGACATGCTAGACTGCATTGTAGTTGTGTCGAAGGGATGCATTTTTTCAATATGCTTTTTGCAGCAGTTGGTAAATGCACATTGCACATTCCAAGCCTTGCGTTAGCCTTACTAGACTTGTGATGCTTGGTTACTTACATTTGGTTGCACGGACTAGAGGAACATGAACACTCTTGCGCCGTTGATTTTAGGAGCTCGAGAGCTGTCCAGTAATGTAGATGTTTTTTGACCCCATGTGCTACAAATGCCTGCTGCCGCAGAAAGAAGCTGGGTGCACAGGGAATTCTGGCCGGCAAGACCAGGAGTGCCTGTGCGGTTTTGTAGAAGGTGCAACGCAGTTGAGCCAAGTCTAGAAGAAGTACAGAATGTGATCGATCGTGGTGGCAAACCACGCCGACACTGGAAAGGAGCTTGCGGCTTCGCCAGCACCAGTGCCATGGTGAACCACATGCGAGACTGCCATGAAGATGCTCTACCAGAAACGGTTTCCACCGAGAGGAGCACACCTTCAAAAAGCGCCAAGAAGGTCGACCTGCAACTGATGAGAGAGTGTGTGATCTACTTGGTGCTAGGCTGCCTGCTTCCTTTTCGTCTTGTGCACAATCGCTATGTCAAGGCTTTTTTGTCCCCTCGCTTGCCGGGCCTTGGTGGGAAGCATGCCTTGGATTTGGAATTCAAAGCTGTCATGCAAGACTTGCGAGAGAAGGTTTTGTCGATGATCCGGGCAGCACGAGACAGCGGCTGTCGCTTTACCCTATCGGCTGACACCTGGAAACCCAAAATGAAGAGGCGAAAACATTATTTGGCGTGCCACTTAGATTGGACACAAAAAGACTGGAGCCACACTAGCGTGTGCATCTATGTCGGTGTGGCAGAAGCACCGCGGACAGGCGAAAGTTGACAGGTTGGGTGTCTGTTTTGGCCCCTGTGCGGGGCCCCGGCGTGGCGAGTGCCTGGTTGTTTTTTTGGCCCCTGTGCGGGGCCCTGGCGTGGAGAGTGCTTGGGTGAGCTTGTTGGGCCCTGCGCGGGCCAATGTGGTAGCATGCGGAAATGCTTTTTTTGCACGCTGGAAAATGCATATTTGTCTTTGGGCCCTGGCAGGTGATCGCTACACAGAGCTTTTCAAGAAAGCGTTGGAGTCGGTGGAGCTGACGCCAGAGCACATTCAAGCGTCCGTTTCAGACCACGAGGGGGCGATTCGAAAGGGTTTGCGCGGCCTCGGTGCGCCCCTGATAGGGTGTGGATGTCATTGTTTGCAGCTATGCTGCAAGCACGCTTTGCCAGATCTGAAAGAAAGGACCAAAAAGAGGAAGTCTGCCGCTGCCAAATTGGATTCGGACTCTTCCTCATCAGACACTTCTGATGAAAGCTCGTCTTCTTCGAGCAGTTCGTCTTCTGAAGCAGAGGTGGCTGAGAAGAAGGCACCCATGGCGCCTGGTGGTGTGAAAGGGCCCAAGGGCGACCCCGCCTCTGTGGAGTGCAAGGCAAAGCTGAAGGAGTCGTTCAGCAGGTACCGGTCGATTGTGCGATACTTTGCTTCCCACGATGACATGTACAATGAAATGTACTCAGCAGCTGCACAAGCCGAAGTGCCTTGCGTTGCCTACCAGCATGAAACCCCAACACGTTGGAGCTCCGCCCTGCTGCAGATTGTTTCTGTCATCCGCAACAATGCAGCTCACGCATTGCTGAGGTTCTGTTCTGAGAAAATCAAACATGCGTTTCCATTCCACGCTGGTTTCACTTGTAGAGAAAATTGCCAAAATGCGTTTGCATTCCACCCAAAAATGCATTTACCATCCCTGACAGGACTCGTCGTCCCAATGTTGCCGACATGCCCCACGAGCTCGACAGGAGTGAGCTGCGGGTTGCTCTCCAGTTCTGTGCTGTTCTGGAGCCTTTTCGCTTAGGAACCAAACTCTTGGAAGGGGATGACAAAGCGCTAGCTTCTCTTTACCTCCCGGTCTTCCACAAGTGCATGGAGACCCTAGAGGTCACTGGGTCAGCGCAGCTGCCTTACCCGAGAGAGCTTCGTGAGATGCATGGCCAGGGCTGCAAAGCTCGCGAGTTGGAGGTGCTACCAAAGCACTTGCTTCGCTTTTTGCACCAAGACTTGAACAAGGTCAGAGAGAAGCACTTTCAAGGAACTACTGGGGAGGCATGGCTTCTGGCCGCCAGCTATGTTGATCCTCGATTTCGAGGCCACAGCATGTGGGAGAAAATGAGCAAGAAGGAAGTGAAGGAGATGATTTGCAAAATGGTTGTGGAATCACACGAGAAGTACCCAGAACTTCGGGAAAGATTGAGGAAAGCAGCAGAAGATCCTATGAATCACAAGCTTGAGACCTTGGGGCGCCCGGAGCCAAAGAAGACAAGAGGCAGAGGTCGTGGTCGTGGAAGGGGAGCAGGGCGGCAAGAGAAACCTAAATCTACCAGTGAAGCTATTTTGCGAGACTCTGCCTGCGCAGCCGCATCGGGTCCTGCAGTGAGGCTGCAGCCCGGTCCTCGCGCGCTCAAAGAGCGCACTAGTGCTGAAGACTGGCTGTTTGGACCACAGCCTGACCGGCGTCCTGCAGCTGAGGTGGCTGTGCTCGATGACCTGAAGGAAGTCACTGGGTCAGCGCTTTCAGCATTTCCCGCGTCGTCGTTAATCATCTTTCGGGGCAAAATGCGTTTTCCATTGTCCAAAAAAAGCATTTTCACACGAAAGCCACCGATGACTCCACCTTCCTTAAATGCTTTTTTAACCAGAAAGAAAAAGAATATTTGTAGTTGACTCACTGCAGCAAGGTTCGCAAGCAAGTGGAAGCTGAGATGTTGCACTATGAGCGCCTGAATGTCACAGGAGAAAGCCCTTTGTCTTGGTGGCGCAGCCATGAAGGACAGATGCCAGTGCTCGCCCAGTTTGCGCAAGCGGCTCTTGGAGTGCCTGGCTCCAGCGCAGCTTTGGAACGGCTTTTCTCGAAAGCCGGTTTGTTCATCACCAGGCGCCGCCCGCGCTTGAAGCCGGGCCGCGCCAGTGACATGTTGTTTGTGCACGCCAATGTGCAAATGCTTCTGTGACCTCGGACAGCCCTCGAAGAAACGTTGCGGATCTCGGAGCAGGGGGGAATTCCGGTTCGTAATTTTTTCCGGTTCGGTTGTGATGGGATAATTGACGGTTGTAATGATTCGGTTGATGAAAAATTTCGGTTCTTGACATTCACGAGGTTTCGGTTCTGAACAAACGGTTCCGAATCGATTCGGGACCCTTCCTGAAAACTGTTCAGGGTTTTATATTTAGTGCCAAGTGAAGTGATTTGGGATTGACTTTCGATAAGTTGTCATGAAAGGTTATTGATTAAATCTGGATCCACAACTTTTTGGATGCTGAAATGCTTTGGCATAAAGCTTTACAGGTGACATGCAGCTAGCATTTGGATTCTAAATGAGGAGAAGGAAACACCTACAAAAAGCAGCGTAGCAGCATGATCTGAGTCAATCATTCTTTTTTGCACCAAAATGTTGTCTTTATTTAGGGTACGGTATATACATTTATTTGTTTTGGGGATGTGGTCAAAAGCTTGATTCATGGTATATGTATAAATCTAAGGCGATCATATTTTTGTTTAAAGCAATTTTCGATGATTGCTAGACTTTGGCTATAAGTGGTGAGCATGAGTCTATCGCGGACGATCGGTCGCCCGGGCTCGGTGCAAGCAGAGCCGCGAGCAGCATGTTTCGCCGGCTGAGCGGCGGCTGCCCTTCGGATTGGGCAAGCGGCCGTCCACTGGCGAAGCAACCTACGTCCATGATCTCGAAGTGTGCTCCTGGCATCGCTACTAGGAGCAAGGACGCTACTAGGACACAAAGGAACACCGAGCATAGGAGTGTGAAGTCCAACCGCCAAAAGGGAACCCACCGGGACCGACACCAGGCTGACCCCAAAAGCAGAACACAAAGAACGTGTAAATTAAAAACGACCCGATCCGACAAAAACGTATATAAAAACAGATATAAAAAGAACGAATTCAAGGAAACTGCATATGACCCGGGGCCCTTAAGTAGTGCAGCTCCGTGTGAGCCACATGGGGAACAGGAAGTGGCAATGCACTTGCCTCCACATGTGAAACCGGAAACTCCAGCACCTGGCCCCATCTTCGGAACCGGTTAAAGATGGTTAAAGAACTCAACTTGTGCAAAACACCAGCATGATAAGATGTGCTTTGCACACTTGACAGGAGGGACTTGCTTAGCGATTCCGCATTGAATCGGCCTGTTATATACATAATTGTGCTCGAGTACTAAACAAGTTCATTGCCAGCCTATGGAAGGGATGTGATGTGGTTTCCAGACTGATGCTGCGACTGTGAGGATGTTTTTCTCTCAGTGGAGACTCCTAATGCCATTCCCTGCGAGACCATGCGGAAGAAGGCTAGCGGCTAGCGGATGCTAGCGGGCATTCTTGCAGACTCTATTTCACCCGGCAGCTTTCCCATGTTTGGTCGGACTATGTTGGACTGTTGTGGATGTTTTAACAGACTTCGCCGATTCGCCAGATGGGGAAAGCAGTTCAAGCCAATGCCGTTTGTAACATGTTGTGACCATGGGGGCATATGTTATGTCTATGAGTCTATGAGCATTCGATGTACTTTGTCCAGCTTTGATACAACGACTACGTGACAAACATCCGTGAGGCTGCTTCCCTCATGCCGGATAGCCCAGTTTAAAACATACTTACTTTGTGGTGGGCATGGGCAGGATGAAAACAACCACACCCATGTAGCACTGGCCAGGTTTTGGGGCCAACAAGTGTAGATTTGTCAAACATGCAACCTCTAGAGTGACTGTCACAACATGTCACAACCACATGTATATATATTGTATATATTCAGAAAGGTGCACCTGCATGGTTCAGACATTTGAACAATGTTGGCCCGTTCGCAATGTTTATCAACCGCAAGCAGCATCGAAATCGGATGTTTGCTTGTTGCAGCATGTGGTCATGAGGAGCCAGATTCCTTCTGCAGCTGCAGAGAGAAACCTGTTTGGTAGGCAAAGTGAGCAGCGTTCTAGATTCCTGTCCTTCCATTTAGTAAAGGGCTTGTGCAAAATCAGATGTACCGGCGATGTACCGCAAGATTTTACCAAACCTAGGAAAGCGTAAGCTGTGCGTCACACAACAAAGCAATTATTGCATTAAAGGAACATTGAACACTGCTCAGATGTATTTGCTAAGAACAATATAAACATATTGGTAAATACACCGCTTTGCAAACTTGAAATTTGGTTTTCAGAGTTTGTATACTGAAGTGCGGAAAAATACCCAATTAGGGCCCCTGCCAAAGATGGTTACATTGGATGCTGTGGATCCCATGGGCATCCTGCGTTCTCGTGTTCTCAGGATGAAACTTTGCAGCAAGCTGGTCGAGCTGAGAGGAGAAATTGATACATTCCAAAACTCACTGACGCCTTAGTGGTGTGTTTGTCAACAATGATTCGGTTATATGCCTTTTGAGGTTGCTTCCTTAAACATAGTCTTGCTTGGCTCATTCCCTTTTTCATTCACAGATCGTATTGTCATTGATGGTAAGATTGAGATTCATGTTATATATATATAACTAGTAAGTCCTAGTCCTGACATCCTGCAGTCTGCAAAGAAGTTCCAAGAAAGACAAACAACATCGTTCAACCATGCATAACTATGCTCGATCACACTGCAGCCTTGACCCATCACTCAATTTCTCCTTCCAGATTTGACCATGGCGACGCTGCTGATTCAGCATTGGCTTTGAGTTGAGCATTACTTTCACTTTGATCTTGTATTATGTCATTGTGTGCTCACAGTCAATTGCACAAACAAGATGTTCCAGACTTGCAGTGTGACGTGTACCAAAGCAACTTTCAGCGCTTTGCTTAATTTTGTTTGGTGAAACAAGTTGGGTGGCCAGCTGAGATGAGATTGTCAGGTCACTGGCTATGATGCTTGCCCTAATGGCATCTGCAACGGCCGAAGGCCCTTGCCAGGGCGCTTGCTCGTCTGGAACGGCATACTTGCAATTGTGCCCAGGATCAATTGGAGGTGTGAAGAGTCTCGTGACTTTGATGTTTTCTTTTAGATGTGTGCAGATACACCATCGCCTGCGTCCTTGGCCGATGGAAAAGGCTCTCAACATCACATCTGTGCATGTGCATCCGAACATCCAAGGCAAGGTAACGTCCAGCGGACCTCTCTGTACCAAGACGACTTTGAGGCTATGGATGGCGGAGTGGGCCGTGCCTGCCGCGGGGCAACAACCACCGACAACTCTCCTAGCAATTATGTGACTCGGAAAAACACAAGACATGCCTCATTGCTAGGAAAAGTTTGCTTGCCGACACTGTGCTTACTCTATGGCTGATTTGGTGGATGGTAGAGTAAGTTGGATTTGCTTTTGCATGCTGTAGCCGGCCAACAGAAGGCCACATAGACCCAGAGATAGTAGTCACATTTCGCTGCTTGTGACGTTCATATCCTTGTGCAACAAGTATATATACTTATTCTTCATGATTAATGTCTTCTCGGTTTGAGCCAAACATGCTTTTGTGCATATTTATCCAGAACCAAATCTAAGGTCGTAATGCATGTCTCGAATTTGGAAGAAGCTTGGCAGCAGAAAAATGTGTTGAATTTGCCATGTTTCACACACTATGTAGTCATTGATTTTCCTGAGGCTCCAGACGGGAGGTTCTCCGCGCGGAAACGACACAAGCAAACGTCAGATGAGTCTAAAATGCGGATCCTGCCTGTCTTTCTGATAAATTGTGCATGTGTTGTTGCATTGAAAAAGGTGCTAAGAGAAACGGATTTTTTCGATCAAATCCGCTTGAAGAAGTCGAAGTTGAACACAGTAAAGCAAGATTTTGGAAATGCTTCATCTCCCCGGTCAGTCTGCGCCGGTCAGTGGTTTCGTGGTTGTTGATATCGCAATTCATGTTGACAAAACCTTCAAATATACTGCTATCACAAAAAACGGATGTGGTGCTTTTTGCATTGCAAATCACTGTACATTTGCACGGCTTGAAACAAGACGTATGTCTGATAGTCAGCCATTTTGACAAAAAACACTGTTCCTAAATGTCTAGCAGCATGTGATATATTTAAAGAGTGTGCATTCATCTCCCCAGGAAGGGTGTAGTTTCAAGATGTGTCAAGATTGTTGCACATGTCTTATCATGTTTGGAAATGTCTACAAAAGCCTATTACCAGCACAAAACACCGCGTCATCAGTCAAGCCGCTTTTGTTTTCAGCTGCACTCGGTCTCAAGAACATACATGGGGTATGATGGGGTTGTAGTGTCGATGACAATGTTGTGTTGTCGATGACAATGTTGTGAAATCGACTTATCCCTCCCCACCCCCCCACCCCATTTTAATCACACAACTAATCCATGACAATGTTGTGATGTCGATGACAAGGTTTTGAAATGGACTTACCCCCACCCCACCCCCCACCCCATGTTAATCACACGACTGATCGATGACAATGTTGTGATGTCGATGACAATGTTTGTGCTGTCGATGATAATGTTGTGATGTCGACATGGTTGCTTCTAGGATTGCTGAAGTCTTCGGAGAACCCCCGTCCAGAGCCTCATTTGAGATTGAGCCCTACCATGTATGAATGCAAACGATCGACAGTCATCATGCTTAGCACGCAAACAGCGATGCAAAATGAGGGTAAGGTCCATTTGATAAGGGCCATAAAAGGGGCGCTTATCAAAGGAGTTCACCTCTCTTTTACAGCCAGAACTTGTGAGATCCTGGCGGCGCGTACCTTCAGTCAGAGCCTGACATCCAATCACAACTAATTCTTTAAAACTCAATAAAACTCAGTATCGTATGTTGTTTGCTGGTTGATGGGTGTATGAGGTGTCAACTGCCCTCCTTCAGTGGGAGTAATCTTCATGGCATTTGATTGATGGTCTTTCATGGTAAGTTGTCGAGTATCATTTATCGGTGATATGTTTCTCTCCAATTTTTATCCTGGGATTTGATGCTTGGGGCAGCTGAGTTTGAGACACGTTTTAGCGGCATGATTTGGTGTTGCTGAGGAATGCAAATCAGAATGTATTAACGACTCGCGCTGCCGGGGCATTGAATATAGCAATGGCCGGTGCGAAGTCTGGATCAGAGAGGCTGGATGCCCAGTAAGAGGTCCAAGGCAAATCTTTGTGTTTTTCGGTAGAACTCTTTGGATTCACAGCCTTCTTTACTACCTGCAATTACAACTGTACAGCGGCGTTACAGCGGCTGATATTGTTATTCCCAGTGGCCTTGCGTATCGTGATAGGCTGGAATCATGGCATCCATCCCTTTGAACGGCTTCAGTTGCTACAGATATGGCTTCTTGACATTGCAAAATTGGGAGCTAACAACGCCCCATTTCGGTCAGAATAGAGCAGAACAATCTTGCATGTATAAGGAGGTTCAAACCACGCCCATCGACATTGGCAAACTCAAGTTTTTGCACCTTGAACTTTTTGCGAAACAATCAGATTCAGCTTATTCAACATTTCTTAAAACTATTGCAGCTTGGGCCCAGCCCATATAAAAATTGTGTGTATATATATATATAAGTTATATATATATGTAAGTTCTGTTGAAATAGGCCGAACACACATCCTCAAAAGATACTTTAAAAGGATCCTCGCAGTCCTGCATCGAAAAAGACACTTTCATCGAGTCTTCCATCTAACAAGAATGAATGTGTAGCTTTCATCTGAGGACTGTACGAGACAACTTTGCCACCCCGAGAGGGCACTTTTGAAGCTGTGGAGGGTGGAGAAGGTCGCGCATGCCGTGGTGCAAGTGGAGGTGACAATTTGCCGAGCTACTACACACTGGCCGCAGGACACGTCGGACACCACCCTGATCCACCCTATCCGCTTTTCAAACCTTAAACTTCAACTTGAATAGGATACTTTCCTGAGAGTCTAGAGATTGAATGCGGTTTCTCTATTTGTTTCACATACCGCGCATAAATGATCTTTGATGAATTTGACCATTGTTTGCCAGTGGAATCTCCCAGTGAGACTGTACGATGGGCTAAAGTGAGGTTCCTTTCAGAAGTACACTTTGCTGCTCTGATTAGATTGCCGGGAAAGTAAATTATGAGCTTGCTTAGATCCAAACACACTGATGATGAGAAGAACTTGTGTCGAAAGAATACAATAGAGAAGAAAGAGAAAGAAAGAACAGAGGGGAAAAAGAAAGGGCCAAGGTCCATATAAAGGTCTCAACAAAAAGGACAGATGTGTTCAATCTCCCCCGCGATCTCTCTCCCTTTCTCTTTCGTGCTCTCTCACTCTCACATGCTGCATCGCAACATTTACTGTAAACCAACACTGCGTAGAGAATCAAGAGTTGTAAAATCAGACAATATTGTGCACAAGCATTGGTAATTAGAGATGAGACATGCCAAAGCAGTCAGGGCATACCTGTGAGGGAAGCTGGAGTCACCGACCGTCCCTCTCATAGGAGTTGGATCTTTGGATGAGTGCAAGGGTGCCTGCTTGCAGAACTTGGCCTGTAAGGCCTGCCATGCCAACCCCTGAGAGGTCTCGCTTCAGATCGCAACGAGAGGTCTCACTTCAGATCAAACACAATAGACATGAATACTTCTCAATTCACGAAGAAATGAACACTTTGACTTTGTCCCCTGTCCTGTTGCCCCTTGGCGCTAGAAAGTTCCATTCCTAGGACTGGCTTTTCATGTGATTGGCTAAAACATCAATGCTAAAACACTTCTATCGGTTCGCTTTGTGCATTCATAGGCATCATGTGCCTTGGCTAGTCCATTATTGCTGCTCCTATTAGACTGTATTGTCCTATGACAGGTGTTGCTGCCTTGTCACAGACCCCTTCGATGTTGCAATTGTCAATGTGGTATTGAATGGAGAGGTCTTAAGCAACAGTTACACTTCAAATAGATTACATCAAGCGTTTGAGAGAGCTTCAAGAGAAAGGTAGGTTTAAAGAAGGTATCGGAATGACTTTTGCTTGTCAGGGCATTGAATTCAGCGATGGCCGCTGCGAAGTTTGGACACGACCTGAAGGCAAAGGTGTATGTATGTGTGTGTATAGTGTGTGTATGAGTGTCCGTTTGTCGAGCGGTGAGAACTTGGACCAGTTTTGCTGATGGTCTTGAAAGCTGCAGGGTATTATGTCTATCAGATAGCTGAAACACTTGACGTGAGTGCAAGGAGGGACAAATGGCACTGAAGTGAATGCACATACTAGTGTACATTAATATTTAAGGTATATACATAAGCAACGTTTATGGCTTAGATCTGAACCCCCGGCTAGTTGGAACAAACAAATCGTCATAGCAGCGACAAAGGCCAAGTAGCAACCGCAATGACAGGTTCTTTTTGGTGCAAAATGCGGAATTCGTAGGAATGCTCTTTGTCGGCGTTCCAGGATACTATTCATAATATTTAGTTTCGTTTTTGCAGCTTCAATTCTTCTTCAGCCATTTCAGAAAAAACGTCGCATCGGCGTCAAAAGTAAAAGTGGCCAGCTAGTAGCAGGAGGTAGGGACTGCAAACAGCGCAAGGATTCCAGAGCTACGAGACGCCATGTCCGTCACGCACCATTTGATCATGTTGTTCCGCTATGGGCTAAAATCAAATTAATAGCAAATCACAGGCACCATTAGGTGTTCATCCTATATAAATAGAGGTTTGATGAGGCTTTTAAGACGCCATTTGCGTACCATAACCTTTTTGACAGAATCAATCCTACACTTGGGGGTTTTGAGCTGAGCACATTTTGGTTGAAGCCTTTCACATGGCCGAAGCTGCTTAAGTCTTTGCAGCATTGGCTTCCGGACTACGCACATCATGCAAAGCTCAGAGTGGTTGTCGCCCTGAGGAAGCTTAGGGGGTGCATCGAACATCTCAAATTCAACTTGATTTTTCCTCTCTGATGCACGTGTATATATGTACACATATATATATATTTGTTTATTTATATTAATATACTATATATATATATTATATACTTGAATTAATAAGACTTGCACCAGGTCGGACAGCGTAATCAATCCTTTTGCCCAAAGAGTGCATGAAGAGGTTTGGACTTGTTCGGTCATTTTGTTTTGGGCATTTTCTTGGCCGCAGTCTGGCAATATTTTGGCAGCTTGGAGGCCATCGCTAGTAGATTGGAGGCCATTGCTTTTGACATAGCAGTTGACCCCATGCCCTGCTTCAGGCATCGAAGCCTCGATTGCGTTGTCCGGCTTCAGTTGCTACCGCTTTGTGGATCCAAGCACCATACCCAAATCATAGATTGTTGGAGCGTTGCAAGGAGTACCGCAACTTAGGTGGCCGCGTTGTCAAATCATGGTATGCAGATGTATAGAGCGTGCATGCCTGCTTGTTCATATTCGTTCCATGGTATGCATGCATGATATCCTTTCAGGAACTCTTTAAGCAAACACAGCAACATGTAGTAATGGATTGAGCGATTGCCAAGGTATCTCGACCACGACCCCATTTCCAGATGGATCGTTCGAGGCTGCAACTCGACCAGCAAATCAAGTCACAACAAGTTTTGGTCCAAGGAGCTTTGCACAGACGGTCCTCCTGCGCGGGCTTTCCAATGAGTCTTTATAGGCATACAAATAGATAAACTGAAATTGCTCAGGTGAAACCCCGCGGCTGGTTTGAGAATGGCTTTCACTAAGGCATTGTGGCCAGCAGAATTCAATGACTAACAAAATTGTGACATTCTAGTGGCCTTGTGCACTTCAAAATTTAGAAAAAGTAGTGGTTCCACTATGTCCTGGGGTCTCTATAGTTACTATCTATAATATGGATCAACCCTGTCAAAAGATATGTTACAGCAGATTCGAACCATTTTTTGTATTCATTGTTGGAATGCTGAGACTTGTTGAGGTGGATGGAGGAAAAGGCCGCGCATGTCGCGGAGCCAACAGTGCTGACAACAAGGCAAGCGGTCTGCATAGGAACACATGTCGAGTCTAGCATAATGTGCTCAACGGTGTCAGAAAAGGATCTTTTAAGACTGCCTCTTCATTTCCTGTTGGAATAAATTGCATAAAAGGGTGGATCGGCAGAGCATGGATTGGATAGTGAGATGGAGATTGTGCTTATTAGGTGTTGATTTGTGACTTGTGACTTGCGGCTGCAATGTGACGCCACAAGGATGAAGTAATATCACTAGAAAGAGGGATGAATAGTGCTGCAATTTTATTCTGAACTTCCGCATGCACAGAACTGTCCAGTATTCCTGTGGAGTTGCGTGAACCATCTCTCGCAAAGATATATAAACAAGGTGTAAGAGTAAAGGTGTTCGGATGTGTTAGGATGTGTTAGGATGTGGGTTTGTTTGCACAGACCTTCCAAGAAAGGTGAGACTTGCCTCCGCGAGTCTGGTGAGGCAAGTTACTACTCTGTGATGTCTGCCTCGAGTTTGTCTGCTTGCAAAGCCCTTTGCTACTCTGACATGACCTGCAAAGGGCTAGCTTCTCGACCCAAGAAATGTGCTGAGCAGACAAACTGGACCCTGGCAGTCCATCGCGATTCTCTTTTTGAAGCGGGAGAAGTAAGTAAGCTGTGAGAGTGGGCTTGAGAAAGCTACTACTAGTAGCTAACGGAAGCTACTAGTAGCTGGGGCGCAGGAAATCTCAGGCTTCTTCAATCGAGGTGTTTGCGGGAAATAGACCCAAACTCAGACGTTGCATTCTCAAGTGATTGGCACAAGATTGGAAATCGGTGTTGTATCTCGTTGTGACATCTCAGCTGGTTTCACGGTTGCCAAGGAATTCAGCGGACATCGATGTGAAATTTGGAGCCACGAAATTCAGGTGCGAGGGTCAGCCAATTGCTGCTGCCAAACAACTTGCACGAGCAGCTCACGAGATGTGTAGCAATGGGGCAGCCTGTAAAATAAGTGACTAGCCAACTCATGGGAACAAGGTATATACTTCAGGCAGACAAAAGTTTACGCTTGTTAGCCTTCTTACAAAACACTCTGAGGTCAACGACGGATCGAATTAACAAGTCTAATTTTCGTGACAGGCGTGGGACGGTCAATTATCACCCTCTTTTAAATTAAAGGCTTTCCGGGGTGACAAATGACCGCCCACACCTTCCCTTGTCTCATGGTGTAGGATTCTAGGGGGATAGGGTTGTCATGAGTTTCAACATCAACAAGCGCAACTTTCTTCTGGCCAGTGTAGTGAAAAGCGAAAATGAAGAGAAAACCGAAGGGATCCACAAGCTCTGTCAAGTTTTGAGTCATGAGCTATATATACCCTTTGCAAGAACACTCTCCATGGTAATCTTCACACAAAACTAGTAACTAGTCTTTTTAAAGCAAAGCTGCGTTTTTCTGCTGTCCGTATTTTGAGAGCTCCGAACTTTTCAATATTGGTGGGTTAGAGGACGCAGGGCAAAGAGCAAGGACACATGATGTTCCTTTGAGAAAAGCAAAGACATTTGACTCTACTTGGAACATGTCATGGGAAGGAGTTGTTCTGCATTGAGAAGTGAACCAGTGGAGGCCTCTGTATCCTTGGACAACTTTGAGTGCTGGCGTGACTCGTAGCGGTTATTGGGTTATTGTCTTCTGCGTGTGGTTTGCAACATTTGTAAGCTCTCCTGTTGACGGCAAAGGCAAGACCAATGGTGAAGGCCCGCTGTCTTGCCAAGCACTCACTGCTGAGCTTGGCAGCTTGGTGCAAAAGTGATCTGAAAACGACATAAAACGACCAGTAGTAACTGAAAAAGCTACTAGTAGCTTCTTGCTCCTAGTAGTAAGGCCAGGGCCCCTAGTAGCTTCTTGCTCCTAGTAGTAAGGCCAGGAGCCCCTAGTAGCGTCCTTGCTCCTAGTAGCCTAGTAGCGATGCCAGGATCCCCTAGTGGCGTCCTTTGCAGGTTCTTTTTTCTCAGGGAATATCTATTGATTTTGTCAATGCTTTGTGCGCTCGCGCTTCGGGGTGACAAGCCTTTCTGCATCAGAAGCATAGAGAAATAATGAGACATATGGATCATTGAGGACAGTCATCCTAGCGATATTCTCCACAGCTCGAATTTGCGGGGCTAGATGAGCACAAACAAATGGAACCGCAACATGCGATCAGTTCAGCAGGTTTGACCAGTGTGAACGATTTGACAGGAGCGACTGATGCGGTTTGCACGGAAACCTGCAGTTACCTGGAGCCTGGACAATGGCCTTGTGGTCAGGGTGGCCCTTGTGTTTGCAGCGGCAGCACTGCAACTGCAACTACCACCAGTGGCACCACAGCGACTGCTACCACAGTGCCAAGCACCACTGCTACGACCACTGTGATGACTACTGGGACTACAACTACAAGCTGCCAGCCTACACACATGCATGGTTTCATGTAAATGTTGGCAAAATTGGATGGTGTCACGCTTAATCAACTTCAGTTGGCGTTTGATTGAGAATACTCAGTTGTGGGTCAATTTCAGACCTCGATTTTGTTTGCCATATTATGTTCAACATTGAGGGTAGAATTGCTGGGTAGGACTCTGGTGCAATCAGTTGTGTGCTTGCTCCCAGGCCAAAGCACTACAACTACCACCACCACCACCACGAGTACCACCACGAGTACCACACTCGCATCCACAACCCCGCCAGTGTCCACATCCACCCTTTCGTCTCCATCCACTTTGATTGACACAACGGTCCAAGCCCTTCAAAGCTCAAACTCTGATGGCGTGTCTTGACGTTTGAACACTCTTTGCTTTCATGGGAAGAATACTCTTGACCTGGTCTTGCGACGAGCCAACACAACAGCATAGATTTTGAGTTACGCATTCATTTGCAAGCAATGCATTTTCCTGTACTTCACAGACCCATGCCTTGGAACTATCAGCACACGGCACACGATCACCTTTGGCAATGTGTTTATATATCCAGAATTCCCAGACTGCTACCCTTGAATCAGCAAGGTTTTCCTGTATGACACTGGCACTGAATGGCTTCCGTCTGACATCTACACCTGGCCTGACATGATTGAGGCAAGATTGCTTCTGTGATTTTCAGAGAGATCCAGAACATAGTGACATAGTGCTTCGACATTGATGGTGAAAACGACAAAAGAATACAAGAGACATGAGACGACCACAGGAGAGCTAAAAGTCAGCTTTTTGCGTGCAGACCAAGCGGGATTCAATGACTATATAGTAAGTAATGATAATGACTCTTATGAGTTATGGGTGCATCTTGATGTCTTGATGCAGATGCCACTCACAGATGGCCCAGTGAGATCTGATGGGGTTTCATGCCTCAGGCTGTAAAGCTCATGGCCAGCACTGGAGTTGGGCAACTGAAGCTTTGGCTTGGCGACACGGACCACGCCCCTTCCTTAGGGTTTGAGTCGATTTTGGACGTTTCGGGAGTGCCTTCGAGGCCGTGACGGGCATCTCGCAAAACACTCAAAAACATGTAATTACTTGAATGTGTTTGAATTCTTTATAGTTTTATTCATGATTGCACCTGGTCCCACAATTACTAATTAGTTCAATTCATCTTCCAGACTTCATGAACCGCCTCCACACAGAAGTCCCCCAAAGGGGCCACTTCCCGAACGAAAGCAACAAGTTTGTAAACAGCTTCATCGAACCAAATGGGAACAATTCTCAAGGCCGTCCGAATCAACCTCGGACTTATCAAAAAGTCGGGCAAGAGCGTCGCATCATTGCTGGATCATATATTGCTTTCAGATTGTATTTTGCCAAGTATCATCAGCATCCTTGCCAATGCTCCCACCATAAGAAGAGGAGTGGTACGATAGGAAACAATGCGCGCATCAACTGCAGGTCCACCGTTTATGACCAATAAGGGCGAAAGTGGTTGGTGCCTCCCTTGTGCAACACGTATAAAAAATTAACCTGAGCAAAAACCATTCCCCTTATTGTCGGGAAAGTAGGTTTGTTTGGCTCAGCCTGACGTTCGACGACGCCAGTAGCTCCATTTTGCATCAACACTTGATGTCCAAAATCTAGCGATGTGTGTGTTATAGAGTTATAGTCAGTTATAGAGTCCAAATTGATTGGTTCCACAATTACTCGAATGCGAGGTCTATGGCCTGGTGAATGTCGCAGCCTTCTTGGCACAATGCATGCAGGTGCCGCGGGGTCTTCCCATTTCAGCAGTTGATTTTTGGCACACCTTCATTTAAGGGTGGGTGCAGGCCGCATCAGACATAGATGACAGATGTTGATGGAGTGTTTTCATGTATGTGCCTATGCATAATTCATGCCTCTAAGAGAAATGGTTTAGTATATATCATATTGTATTATATATTTCTATATTGTACATAGTATTCTATACTCTATTGGAGTATATTTCTCGCAAACCAGCCTGTGTCAGGCTTCTGCTTCCAACCTTTGAGTCCAGCGCACTATCTTCTAATTACTCCAGTGCATCCTTCCTTTGTCAGGAAAAATTGAATCACATTTGTACTTGTATGACTCGCATGAGAGTTTATCATCCGAGCTGCATGTACACTTTTATTGGGAGGGCGATTGACAGTCTATACAGTAATACATCTATTGTTGTGTGAGGAGACGATTCAGTACAACGCATGCGATGAGAGACTTGGCTGCATCAAGTCTTGCATCTAGGTTGCGGAGTTAACTAACAGTCGAATCATGTCGAATCTACAAATCAGCACTCAAGTACTCAGCTCCGCAGCTCTTCTTCTGATTTATATAGTGCTACTGTGACCTACGACGTCCTACTAGATTCCACTGTGGTTCTCAATGTATTCTCAACGTATTTTGTTGCGGCCTGTTGGGTCCATTTGTGGTAAACTATTGAAGGGCATAGTTTGTGCACCTCACGAATGAAAGGTAGCAGCACGGCCTACAATTGGTTGGCAATTCAGCACGGCCTCACCAGCGCCTCGAGGAACAATTGGAGCGACAACAATGTTGTCCAAGAAGCTGGTGGCTCCACATATTCTTCAACCTCTGCTTGTGGTCAGTTGCACCAATCTTACCAGGAAAACAGCAGGTGTTGAACGTGTTGAAGTAGAATTGAGTCGCACAACGTCACCGTGACTTGTTTGAGACAGTGACAGTGTTTCTGGATTTGCCTGGTGAAATGAGGCTTGTCTTAATTTTCAGTCTTGGTCGTTGGTTCAGTTGCTGTCCGCTGCTATCCTTCCGTCAGGATTACAGCTGCTCTGCAGAGGAGGATGCCCTAGCAGGAGGCCGAAGCTTGGTGACAGCCAGCGTCTTCGGCACGAGTGCGGGCGCTTGTGCACGATGACTTGGTCCAGTTTCGCCATAATGCCTTCCGACGAATCGGCCGGAGTGATTTACAGAGTAGAGTGACCGAAGATGTCATGAATGCGACGTGAGTTGTCCCCAGGAATGGCTTGTGAAGTGGACCCCTCCATGGAGATGCGTGCCTTCACTCAGGCGTAAGGGAACAGGCTGAAGCTAGGGTGGGTGGTCTAATTTGGCATTTTTGATCTGTGGACGCACGAGTAACTTCCTGATTGAGTCCTGACTCGCTTTAGCAGTTGTGCTCATAATATCTCTTGAGACTCGTGCTTCAATGTACTTGTACTGGTAGTGTCCCTAGTCTATGTGTTGTTGGCCGCACGTTCAAGGCTCGATCTTTCCTTTCCGCCTTTGTTTGTATTGCAGCCAATCTGGGATTGACCCGATGAATGCAAAAGCTCCCAACACCTTAGAGATAGCATTGACGCGTGGCGGGCGGGAGCGGGGAAACCTGTTGAAAGTTGGCCCCTATTTCTTGACAGTGACTCCATCTTACAGCATTTGAGGTCAAGTTTATACAGTATTTTGACCATGTTCAAGACTCCTGGCTTCAAAGCTCCAAATCCAGATTTAATCCGCCGCTTTCGGCTCACAAGTTCTCCACTCTACTTAGAGTGGATGCAGCTTTGCAGAAAGCGCTGCATTGTCGCTCACTTCATGCTTTATGTTGGATGGTATCACGGCACGTCTAAAGCGCTAGACTAGGCCTTGTTTTGTTCTTAAGAAGCCACGAGACATGTCCAATCTCATAGGCCAGCTACACTGCATTGTAAGTTGTAAGGCCCAAGAATTCTGGAAGCAGCAAGTCAACACTTTGCAGTGCATTTCAAACTAATGGAACCTCCGGCAGGCTTTCCCATCTTGCGCCATGCAGCGGGGTGTGACAGACTATCCCTTTCGGAAGAAAAGTGAGGACCAGCTGTCAACCAACCAGCCGCCGTTCCTACGGAGTGAGAGCGAACCTTCGTGCCGCACAGCACCTTCACATGTGACCGCCGAAATCATGGGCACCTAGGTTTGGTTTGGTTTACGACCGTTTATGTAGACCCTTAATGTAGGCATATGTAGGCTTTGTTGATAGAAAAACATGTTACAGTTTTGCTGGGCCCTAGTTAAGTTGGTAAGATCCAATATCACATCAGATTTGTAGAAAGCTCTGGGTGTGGACCTGTGCAGCAGGTTCACACAATTTACAACTTGCTTGTCTGAAGGGAACTCAAGAAGACTACCCTGATTTTGGACCTGAAGGCTTGAACGAGCCTCAAGCAGATTTGTTTTTCATGATTTTTCATCCGATCTTGAGGTATGGATCACAATGTTGTGGCCAATTTTCAAGCTCTCCAAGATTATAAACCAAACAAGCAGCTCAAACGAATCGCGTTGAATGTTGCTTTGTGCATCGATGCTCCGGCTTCGCGTTCAGCAGGCTATTTTTAATGTTTTACCTTATTTTTTTTCGTCAGTATTCTTCACCTCACGCCTGAGGGCGGGGGCTTCCTCGAACTGTTCACGGGACTGGTCTAGTTCCAGCAAATGCCTACACAGCCTAATTAGTGCTTGGGATTGATGTTGCTAGAAGATTCAAGTATCCTGACAATCCAATTGGGCCCTTTTACTCTATTCTGAGTTCTTCATAAACTGGCTTCACTCGGTTTCACAAAACATGGAGCGAGACCCTTCAAACAAACAAGTGACGAGATCTTGTCAATGCCCAATTCAATTGCACTAGACCAAGTTTTCCTCACTGGGTTACGGGTTGAGAAAGGTCAACTGCATCAAGGCATGAATGAGAGCGTTCATGACGTTTCTATTCCACCTATATTATAACAATTGATTATACATGTTGGATATACATATATATATATACATATTTTAATATAGAATGTAGTTGGATCCATGCATGACCAGAATCCATGTAGGTCTAGAACACCCAAACAAAGTGAGGGGTGGGCCGGCTGCTATTTATCACAAATCCTCTAACAACAAATGCAAGCTTGGAGCCCCGGTCAGAGTTTATTCAGATTCTTAGCAGCCCAACAGCCCTTTGTGTCAGGTGAATATTCTGGCTGGCTGCTTGGTGCCAGCTATTGCTGACAAATCCCGGACGGCCACACTTTATGAAAGCAGCTTCTTGGCTGAGTTTCATCCAAAGAGAGGCCTCAGACAATTCAGCTTGCTATCGGCCCGAGACACACCATTCATTTGAGGAGATGGTGAGCTCGTGGTAACAGGAAAGAGATTTCCCTATGATCCTGCTACAGTGGTCGCGGCTGAATCCCTAGCCTCTTGGACAAAAGATCGACGTGCAAGATGTGATGATAACCATAAGCAATGTTAGCAATGCTTATAAACGTATGATTTTGGTTAACCATACAATGGAATGCAAGGCATATTCCCACATTATTTGACTTTTGCAACCCTACGCACAACAACTTTCGTAGAGTCTTTGCGGGTGAAGAGTACTGCATCTAAAGTTCACCAGTCATCCAAGTTTAGTTTGCCTTTTGGTCCTAAATGACTCCAGACTTTACTGCGTTTCCACTGAGAGTATGTTTGTATCTTTGATACACTTCAACCCAACAGCTTTTGTTGTTTTTTTTGTTTGGATCCTAACTATAAAGGGAAGACGGGAGGGATAATTACCAGTGTTCAGAAACCTGACCATACTGATGATATATATATATATCTATATCTATTACTGACTGTATATAAGTGTATATGTAATCGTAATTATATATACAGTATATGTGTGGCACGTTTCTGTGTTCAACTATGTGCGTGTTCAACTGTGCGAGCTTGCAGGATTGAACAAAATCAGCCCGGGGATTCATGTTGCAATCTCACTCAATTCAGAATTGGCAAATGATTGCTACTTGTACTTAGGTGACGGCGACGTTTATGTCTGTTTTGTGGGAAGGATTTTTGAGCGGTTCTAATTTCATTCAGGGTTGTTGCACCAGGCCAACGTCCTCATTGGAATGATCGCCATGGGGAAGCAAAAGCAACAAGCTCCGCTTTTGGACGTTCAAGAGCACAAAGAATACATAGAGCTCACATTGATGCTTGGCTGCAAAGTTGATTTCCTCAAGGAAATGGAGAAATGTTTATGTCGCACATCTTATTCGGCGAAGGACGTATTGCCTTGGAGACCTTGCCGCCTTGCAAGCAATTGGCTGTGGAGGTGGCATTCTTTATCTGACGGTTGGAAATTCGCGATTGCTGTTTGCCGCGCTGGCATCCAAGATCATTCTGAACCTTCTGCTTGGCGTCGTTTTTTCCTCTCACATTAAAATGGGTTCCTCTGAGTTCCTCTCTACAATTTTTGCTGCCATGAAACATCGATAGGTGGCTTTGTTGTGCCAATCATTGTGTTTTGCTCTCTAGCATGTTCAAGACAGCAACTCTTCTCTATTGCTGGTCGAGCATTCTTCAAATAAGGAAACAGGAGTTGGAAACCTGTCAATGCATACTTTTGGCGTTCATGACTGCCTGCATTGTCCCTTGGAGGAGAAAGTACTTGATGGGACATTTACATACATGGATCTTTAATCTACAATGCATACATGATACATTCGGGTCCTTAGGAATTGGACAAGCGATATTGTACCACATCCAGCTTTTGAACGACTCTTTGAGACAGTATAACTACACAGTGTTGGATTGACGAGTAAGTGTCAGGCCTTTCCTCTTTACAAGATCTTGGCAAATCATGCAACATATGTTCTGGTCATTCTGAACTGCTATGCTGGAAGCAAAGCCACTCATGCACTGTCAGGAAAAAATAGGATCCAACAAAGACACACAGTTGCTGTACATGTTGCTCAAGTTGCAAGCAACAACTGGCCTGGATATGGGATATTCAGCCTGCTCATTTGCCAAGGTGGCCTTTGCTGAAGCACAGGCGTCCGGCTACGATTCAAACCGTTCTGGCATGTTTGCGGGTTTGTTTTTAGTCCTGCTGAAATCATTGCTTTCTGCCTTGGCAGCAGTGTTGACAGAGTCGCGCTACAAGACGAGGACATCTTCAGTTGATTTTGAATTCATTGTTACATGTTAAGCGCGCTGTTACAATTTTCCGTGTTTTGTTTGGGTTGGATTAGGTAGGATTAGATTCTAGCGGCAACGAATGGTTAAACCCAGTGGCCGCCAGTGGCCAAACCCGGTGAGGAATGTTTGGGAAGCAAATACAATGTTGAAGACGCAGAGCTTCCTCTTGGCACTGGTCATTTGGGCTCTTACAAGCCTTCTAGATAAGCGGGAGGCTCTGCAGGTTTGCCCACGCTTTGAAGGTTTGCCGCCATCTGTAGAGACCCCATGCGTCGATTACAGAGGATGGGATCGTTGGACCTTTGCTGTCCTGGTGGCAGAGGTTGGCAATGGGTGGATCTCGGTGGCCATCTTGAAGAATTTGTCGGCAATCGCCAAGTTTGTATGCAAAGGTCTGTCTGCGCCAAGTTTGTACGTGTCCTATTGCTTGATGGGAAGGAACCAGTTCAAGCTAGCACTATTTCTGCCCATCTTGGGCCTGACGGTCTCAATTGTATTTTATGCCAAAGAGACCCTAAAGGTCATTTACCAAGTTTACTTGCCCACATGGGTACCTGAATACCGGCCCACATTTGTGCCGCACGGCACCAGCAATTGAATCGAAAAAAAGAGCTGCTGTGGGCATCCTACGCAGTGTATGATGTGTACGTATCCACATACTATCTATTATGTCTGAATCCACATGACCGTCACTCACTCAGACATGTACACTCATGACCGCAATGCCGGCTTTACTCTCGAGACCCCATTTTGAGGTTGAAATAGGTGCGCCCGTGCCGTTTCATGGTAGCGGAGCGCTGGCCGTACTGAGCCGCGCTTCCGCATACGACACGCACCACGAGCACTACGATCACCACGACATCCTCAACGAGGAGCAGACGAGCCAGGCCTTCAGCGACTGGCACGTGGTTGGTGGAACTCATCGTGCTCGCTGGGCTAGCAGGCGGTGTCGGTACCACAGCGATCCAGGAGATCAACTACTTCCAAGCGAACCGTGTGATCCCAAAAGCTGGAAAGCTCAAGAGGAGGCAATTCCACACGGTCGCCTTCGAGACTGCTGAGTACCTCACTAGAGTTCGGTGGGTGAAGAGCGACAAGCAGCCAGAGCCTCGATTGTCTTCCAGAAGAGAAGAAACGGAAGGTTGAGCGCCGACTTGAAGGAAATATTGGTGGTAGTTCCATCGAAGTTGAAGTTCATCTCAAAGATCGAGAGCTTGAGGCAAGAGACACCCCAGGAGAAGATTTGTGAGCTTTTGTCGAATTGGTGTTTCTGGGAGTTGCTGGTCTATAGTGGACTGGAGTTCAGCCCGGAGGAGAGCATTGAACCCTCTTGCACCACAAAGTCGTACTATCCAAAGATTTGGACAATCGGTCCAATGGCTGAGGAGAGCTTGAGGCTGGTTGCAAACGCACTGGAGCGGCTGACGGTCAATCAGACCACACAAGGCTGGGCACGACATCTCAAACCTCCTGATGTGTTTAAGCCGGATTCACGTGACAATGAGCTGAAGTTGTGGGGTGATTGGAAGTTTGCATTTCTCAACTACATCAAGGGGATCGACCCCACCATGGCGAATGACATGGACCAGGTTGAGAGGGACCTTGACGCCAGTTATGAGCTGGATGACATGACAGATGAAACGAAAGGAAGATCGGTTCGGCTATACAGTTTGCTGACATCTTATTTGCGGCAAAGGCCATTGAAGCTGATCAGGCACGTCAGGAGAGAGAATGGCTTTGCAGCTTGGCAGATCCTATTGCGGGAGCTTCAACCTGCGACAAGAGCTAGGTCCTTGGCCTTGTTGAGCCAACTCTCAAGAGTGCAGTTTGCTGAAGGGAAGACGGTGGCAGAGCAGCTACCGCAGTATGAGTCCCTCATCAACGAGTATGAGCGCATCTCAGGTCACGCCTACAGCGATGATGCAAAGGTGGCTGCAGTGCTATTGGCATGTCCGATGCAAATCAGACAGCACTTGCACTTGTGGATCACGAACACCACAACGTATGAGCAGTTGAAAGACAGGATCATTCAGCTGGAAGCAATTTCGACAAGATGGGGCAGCTCCAATTCCTTGATGTTGCCCACTCGTGCTGCAAGTGATGAGGCCACACCCATGGAAGTTGACTACATCGGCAAGGCATGGGACAAAGGTGGCAAGAAAGGCGGCAAGTTTAGAGGCAAGGATGCCAAAGGGAAGAACAAGGGCAAAGAGAAAGGAAAGCAGAAAGATGGCAAAGGAGCATGGAGACCTGAGAAAGGAAAGACGCTATGGGAGAAAGGACCTGGAAAGAAAGGCAAAGCGAATGACAAGGGAAGTAAAGGTGGCAAGAACAACAAGTGCCACAACTGCGGCATCCCTGGACACTTTGCCAAGGACTGTTGGAAGAGAGTGAACCAGGTAGAGGACCAACAGCAAAATCCAGGTGGAGCAAGTTCTTCGTCGACGGGAGGTCAAACAACAGCTCAGAGTTCGGCGACAGCCAATACAGCCAATGTCAAGATGGTTCGATTGGAAACTCCTCCAGACACCCCATCTATGGAAGTGTTCGACTTGACCACTCCAAGAGATGACAGGAGTGGATACCCTTGGAGAGTCGGGATGATTTGGTGCGATCACCAGGTCGATGGCTATGAGGTCACCGATGACGAGTACATGGACTGCTATGAGCCCATGGTGGATGTGCCACTCGGAGTGAGCATCGTGGCACTAGACCTGCAGGACAGCGAAGAGGAAGAACTGCAGGTAAACATGGTGAAGATTGAGGAGGATGAGGCAGACCAATGTCTAGTGACTCTGGACAGTGGAGCTGACGTGTCAGTACTTCCTCGCAGCTATGCGGCCGTGGGCCAACGACAACAAGAGTCCACGGAACTCAAGATGGTGGACGCCCAAGGGAGGAAGATCGCCCATGATGGTGTGACAAAGGCCCGCATCCGCATCGAAGACAAGAATGGCAAGATCTTCGACTTGCTTGAAGACTTCGTACTTGGGAATGTCCAACATCCAATATTATGTGGGAAAGTTGCTGCGCAGAGGTTGGAGCTTGCAGAAAGCTGATGGAGGACCGCTGGAACTGAGGCATGAAGAGAAAGGCATTGAAGTGCCAGTGAACACAGAGCGCAATTCATTGCAACTGGCAGCTAGGATCTTTACAGTGACAGGAATTTCGACCACTACGAGCCCAATGCGATCCACTTCCCCTACTGCCAGGATCTTTGCGCTGACTGGATTTGTGAGTAAGTATGTTCAAGAGCTTGAGATGGCTCCAGGCTGGCACAGGCTACCCAATGCAGTAGTTGTCTACAGTGACCCCATTGCTCTTCGCCTCGCAGATCCCAAGGACAGCATTGAAAAGGCCTACAAGTCGAGGATGACCTTAGTGAAGCAGAAGAACGGCCAATGGGCACAACTGGAGAAGGTTGATGACATCAATGCTGGTGGATCCGAGATGTTCCGGAAGATCGGCATCAATGACGAGCCACAAAGGACGTTGAGTTTCTTTGCACCAAGCAGGTTCAAAGACTACTGGGAGCATGATTCAGAGGTTCCTATTTCTCCATTTCCTGAGCCTGAGGATGTGATTCAAACTGTTGAATGGTCCGAAGATGATGCGGAGGAGATCGAAGACATGGAGCAACAGGCGGAAAATCAAGACATCGAGAAGCTTGTCATAGCAAAGCATCCTCATGAGGTGGAATTGGATGAAACAATGTTCTCAGAGAAGACTTCAGTGAAAGACCTTCAGGTGGCATGCAAGGAGAGAAACCTGCCGTACACAGGAAGCAAGAAGAGACTCCTTGAGCGGTTGATGAGCTTCAAGATCAACATTGAGACACAGATGCAATTGTCCATTGCAAACAAGATCTACAAGGAGCAGCAGAGGATTCCAGTGACCATTGGACAACCGAAGCTTCCAAGTTTTTCAGAGCAAGAGAGACACTTCATCACGCACATGCCCTACGCTGGATGGTGCCAGGCTTGCGTGGCAAGTCGGGCGAAGGAGGACAAGCACGTAAACAGAGAAGAGCAGGAAGGCCAGGGCAAGAACCTGATCCAGATGGATTTCTGCTACACATACACTGGAGAGGACCAACGAGGTGATGAGCCCACGTTGGGAAAGGTCCAAGAAAGGCAAGACCAATTTGGCACGTGCTTGATCCTGACAAGGCAAGCCTCAAGACGATTACGGAGGAAGTTGTCCGTTTTGCCCTCGAGAACTCAGCGTATGACCCTGTGATCTTTCAGGCTGACCCAGAGAGAGCCACACGCCAAATCCTGAGATCCGTGCAGCAAGTT